GAAAACAGCAAATGATTGAGTAAGCCCGTGGCATAATCATCTTCAAAATATATATGGATTTAGGCGATTAAGTGATAATGACGGAGATGATTAAAACTGATAAGTCATTAATAGACATTTGATAATATTAATACACGAGGGAAAATTGAATGTATATTAGATCTAGAGAGTACCATTTTATAGGAATCAGATTTACAATAGATAATATATTCATATAGACAATGATGTCATAATTATGTCACTATACAAATCAATCTTCTTCCTACAAAAGTTGCATCTTCTAAATCATCTGAAACAGGGTTTAATGTTCGGCTGTACCCACTCAGTCGGACCCGTTTCTCTTCACTCATGATTCAAAATACTTTTTTTTGACGACCTTGCCGAAAAAAGGTATTGTGCGTTCGCTTTTCCAATAATGAATGTGTGTATACAGAAACTGTTGACACTAACAATATAACGGAAACTGATAAGATGAGCTTTTATTTACAATAGCAAACAGTCAAGCTGCAGAGACAACAGATTACTCGAAGCAATGTAATGCTATTGTGCACAATTTGTCCATCATTTGGATTATGTAAATAATTAAGTGGTTGTTTGCATTTTGAATGGCAAATGGAAGTCAGCTTGCTGTGCTCAGTTTTCTCTCCAATTTACGTCTAAAATAATATTAGTACTATTTTTTTTGTTAGTTGTACTGAAAGAATACACTAAAAGAAAGTGATATACCGATTATTAAAAAAAAACATGAAAATTTGACCAGATTTCCCCTGTGGTTATGGTTATACGATTATTGCATGATTGATACACCATTACTCAGTATAGCGGAATCGTTGAATGGATTATAGAGATGTTAATTACAATGCATGTAATTTCTAAAAATGATATAGAACAATCATGTTAATATTGTTGATATCATATTTTAGTTGCTTTTAGATTATTCGCTTTTGATGTTATATCGGAATTCATTCCTTTGCTGTCACTGTTCTCAGGTATTCAAAGGGGGAGTGTAAGATGTGCTGGAATGGGGTTGACCTTAGGCGTGGGATCATGACCCGAAACAGCAGAGAAAAACACGTTGTACAACAATATGAGAAACAAGTAACTTGTTAGATTTTGATTTGTATATTGATATGGCTGGGTTGCCAACAGCAAAAAAAAACAATACTTCAGATGGGAATCTGCCACCCTTGTTTTCACATTAAAACTTTTCAGAAAAAATAGTATAAGTGGTGAAACCTGGTAACATATAGAAATGTTTCCTAGATTCATGAGATAGTATAGTTGGATATTTATAATGTTGTTGTCACTAGATGTTAACAATGCTAGTCATCACCAAATTAACAGATGACGCATGCGTGGAACGCTTTTTAGTCACTGGATTCAACATTATGCTGACGAGGGGTGCAGCTAGAGCATGTTACTCAGTGATTTAAACATAATCTGTAGTCGTTGATACTTTTCAGAAAATAGCATCCTTAGAATTACATACAAAATGAAATCTGACAGTCTGATTACACGATTTCAATGAAATATTGTCATCCATGATGTTGGTTGCATAAAATAACACCCCTGTAACTAGCAGATGGTGTATACCATCTAGGACGGTGCTCAGAACAATTACTATATAACTTTCGGAAATTATATATTTCCCAAAGCTTTAGCTTTGATCGTTTGCTTGCGTCAGTGTAGTATATTCCGAGACCCAACACTCTGTAATAATAACCTCTTTATCATAGTGGTTTCACAGAATATAGATGTGCCGCGGAGATCCGAATCGTACATTAGATGCTGTTTAGAGCCGATTTGTTGGGGTATGTGACTGTGGCGTACTGGGTGCGCACCTGCTTAAAATAACAAGACGCTTTTCTGTGGTTGTAAGTTTGAATCTCGTGTATGTGTGTTTATATGTTCGTAATTTGCCTGTACTTATATTAGTTCCGCTCAGATGTTCAGATGTCACTGCTGCTGAATTTGTACTTAGTGTCTGAGAAAAAACCGGTGTATGTCATACTGACCATGAATGCCTGGCTGTATATGTATGTCATTGTCTGTGACGTTTAGTTTATGCATATCTAGTTGTTGCGAGGGCGCGTACCTGTTTCGGGCCGACTTTCTGGTCACAATTGTACCATAATTGTAGTTGGACTTTTATAAAACATGACTTGATGAATGACTTGATGAATCAAGAGTTGTGTGCGGTTATAATATAGGTGTCGAATGCACGATGATGTTTAACTTAAAATATTTTGGTCCGAACCCAGTATGTCCACCAAAAAAGCTGTCTGTTTAACTGGAAAGGCGCCTGAGGGAGGACAGATTGGTTGATGAACTGCTTGTGGTATAGTTACCAAAAATACTCTTGGTATCAAAATAAATCCTTCATGAAATTCATGACACAGTGGACACAACGATCAACAGTTTTTAGTTAGTGCTAACATTCCATCAAAATAAAGCATTTCTGCCATTTCGGAACCGGATCTCAGTCATGGACTTATTTTATTTAAACTGTGTACGTCTCTTGAACCAGTCCTTGATCGGATCGGATAGAAAATGGCGCCGCGACCAACGCAGTTCGATGGTCATATCTCGGACATGCATCGATCAATCAAATTTAAACATTACACACACATCACACATCATATCACACATAAGCACATGCCTTTGTTTCATGATCCAATTCAGGATGGCCGAAGGGTGGCAATTTTAATGCTAAAAAATCATCAAAATCAAGCATTTCTGCTTTCTGGATCCCTGTCGTGCATTGAAATATTTCATTTATTAAACGTAATAGGTCCTTGTTGCACGTCATTTTTCTTCCCAGATTTAGTTCAAAATGGCCATTTTTTTTAGCGAATGTTGTTTTTGAACCACATTGCTGGACTGATTATGTTCAATCTTTCCACATAACACATTTGCACATGCATCTGTTTCAGAATCTGATTCAAGATGGCTGATCGTCATTTTCGTGCTAGAAATGAATTATGAATGTCATGCGCAGAATAAAGGAACAAATAAACTGGCTTCATGTGGTATCAAGCATGTCACAAGAGTGTAAATAACTATTTGCCTCTAACGTTAACAGTCACTATAAAAACTGGACGGGAACTTGCCATTGACACTGACTTTTTATTATAATTTGACATTACTTGTAAAGTATATGATCATATTTAGCATCATTATATTCCAAGTTGGGGAAGCAAGAATCTGCCAAATTATTGGTTGCTATGGAGGTTAGGTCAGAGAATGCTTACTTCCCCCACACAAACGTCTGCCATAGATAGGAATTACATATCCCCACCTCTACCCTGTTGTATAAAGTTATCATACTCGCATAATACAATTTGTTTTTGAAAAGGAAAATCAAATTGAGTTTTGAATATGTGTGTTCTCTCAAGGAATCCGAGAATAGTCTTGCAATGATGAATAATTTTCTTCAAAACAACTGGATACATATCCAATATTTAATGGATTAATTCTTGCATCAAGAACAAAGTCACGTGATAATTTCATGAAAATGTGTTTATAATTGTTTATGCATGGAATTGCTGTTTCATTATCAACCCCTCCTGAAAAGTTCACGAGTGTTGTTACACAAGTTTTTGAGTTATAAACGAATTATTATGCCCGGAATCGCCGTTTCCGTGATAACCTTACCAATATCTGTATCAAAATGAGTTCGTCCTTTCATCGGCCGATATCAGTTATAAGTAACAAATAAATCCGAAATTGCTGTTTTCATGGCCATATCTGTATGTCAGCATCCTTTATTTTATGTTTTTGTCATATTACCTAAAACCCTGCAAATGGAAGTGTGCATGGAATCATGGGAAGAAACGGTGTGCATTGTGATAACTGTCATAAATATGATTGACAGGTCATACTTGTTTCAACTCTGGAAGGACGGTGGGTTCTACCAGGTGTGCTTGTGATTTACATAACAAAGGGTGTTTACAACTTTGGACGGCGAATTGGAATTTACCAGGTGTGCTGTTATTTGAATAACAAAGGATGTTATGATCTGAGTTGCCTACGTGACACAGCTGCTAGCAAGATCACATTCTGATTGGCTCATGTGGAAATCCAGGTGGTGTCACTGCCTATAAATTGGACAGACTAAGGACAGTTTGGGTCAATCATTTCAACTCTGTGTCCGTCATTTCAACTTGCTTTTCTGTGTGTTCTGCTACGATATTGTTTGACAAGTGATACAGGCTACAGCCATCATGCTGTGAGACTTGTATGAACTGCTCTGCGATCTCCTGCTTTCAGCGGTGCCCTCCAGAATATCAGCGTTCCTCTGCAAGCAAGACTTCTGTATTTCTTCGTTGTGTTGCAAAAGCCATTGACTGTCGTCCAATAATACATCCTGTACCTGTGCGTTATCACCAATGCACACTTCCCTAAGCAATCCCCTATTTTAGTGAC